TAAAACGATTGTCCCTCTTTGCAGCTTCTGTCCGTAATGAAAGTTCCTGAACGCGTTTGCCGTTATAGACGCGCTCGTAAAAATCGTTATAAACGGCTATGCAAATATTTCACCTGCGCATGTTAGGTCGTGATGATGCGCGCATAATATTTCACTAATGTTTGTTCTGATCTTAACTTTCCTTTCTAAATTTGTCGTCGATTTGGTCGTTTTTCCTCTTTTTATCTTTTCCATTACCGGTTCAAATCACTCAAAGCAAACGTCGTATATTATTCTACAAAAGGAACTGATCTTTTGCCCTATGTGACCCTTAAGATTGTTATTAATGATAAAAGAAAGCTCTTTGTCAAGATTAGTCCAAACAGTCTTCTGGTTACCTTTGGGCCACTGTATTCTTGGTTTACTTAGGATTTCTCCAGGGTGCTGTCGCTCAACGATGGAATCCTGAACTCTGTGGGTGTATTCCAGATTCATAATCCCATCACTCGATTTACATTCTCCAATAGGAGAATTACGTTGTTTGCACCAGCGTGCCTTATATATATATATATATATATATATATATATATATATATATATATATATATATATATGGGAAGCGGTAAAGGCTCTTACATATCAGCTGTGGTTTAAAAGGTTTACAGATGGCGATTGTGACATCCAGCCACGCTCTAGATAACGAACCACTCAGGAGAAATTTCAAAAGAAACTACTAAATTGGATCCACGCCAAAGCACCAGAGTTTGGCGCACACCCCAATGCCTCATTCAAAAGTATCACAAGTGAATATGGAAAAAATTTAAGATAGAATTTGGGTCCCAAATGAGTTGTCGCCTGAAAACTGAACATAACGTTTCACCATCTGCAGCAGTCTTTTAACCAGAAGAAGGATACATCTGAATTCAAAACTGGTTGGATATGGGGCTAGTAACTCCACCCTGGAAATTGCTACAAGCTACAGAAACCACAAAAACACCGAGTTTGCTGAGACCATGGACCTATATTACAACAGAGGTGTCTACAGACTTATCATACATACACACATATATATACATACATACACTCTATTGTTAAAAATCGGCATAGACCATAAAAGAGACATTTTAAGGTGCAGTAAGCACTTGCAACAGATTCTTAAGACAATTTTGAACTGGAAAAAAGCTCATCTGATTCTAAAACTAAAGTGGCTACATATCTACAGTTATGGATCGTGGATCAATAAAGCTGTGGGTTCACAACATCTCACTTCATTTTTTATCTGGATTTTTCAGTGTATAATGTTTATGTTTAGATCACATTATTTCAAAAGAGGAAAACTGTGTTTTGATGTCAACAGAAAAACGATAAAAGAGAACGGTTATCGCAAATTTAGAAACCATTGTCAGCACCAAAGCCAGGACTCCATCCACAGTATTTCATAATACATCTGGGCAAACAAGAACGGTGTCATCACATACGACCTGCAACATGGAAGGATCATTACTGCTGACACTTATTGCAAGAAACTTCATTAGGTAAAGGAAGCATTAAATCAAAATTGTTTGGATTTGGTAAACATAAAAAGTGTTATTCCCCAGCATGGCAATGCAAGGGCATACTTTATATATATAAAAAATAAGATTAGGATTTCATGTTCTTCAACACGCTCCGCGTTCACCAAATGTAGCACCTACAGAATTTTATTACTCTTGATCAATAGAATAGTTGATATATTGCAGAATATTAAGAAACAAAGAATTTGGAAACAGTCTTTTAAAGATTTTGTCGGTGAAAAACACAGATTTCTGTAAATGTATAAACGGATATGTTGTTGGACGTTTATATGAATAACTATATATATATATATATATATATATATATATATATATATATATTGTGTGTAATTAATCAGCATCTTTTCATTCATACACGTTTCATTAAATTGGTTTATAGCAACGGCTTCCCATACTTAATATTTCTCCAATTCACTCTCGTGTGGTCATGTGTGACGTCATGAGATGCGGTGCGATTTTCGCTTCTAGCGTCTTATTTGCACGTGTTTATCGTTGCTTAGAAATCATCTATGTAAACAATGACATACTATCATCACTGTCTTGTCCGTATATTGCTTAATATGTTGTAATTGACATCTTTGATAATGGCTTATGTAAGCCGAAAGCTTAAATTGTATTAAAAAAAATATGGATCAATATTGTGAATTTCTTTCTTCGTTCAACGATAATGTTATTAAACTTATCAGACGTTACGAAAAAATTTACATAAAATAAATAGACAACACTTGTCTATATCATTTAATGAAATGTGTATGAATATATATATATATATATATATATATATATATATATATATATATATATATATATATTTATTTAAGAAAGAAAATGCTTTTATGGAAATTATTATTAAAAACATTTTGTGTCGATTAATTGTACTCATCAACTTTTTCAAATTACGAACAATTCTTCACAACCGGACCGGCTCACGGTACCGGCAACCCCGGCAGTCGCCCTGGACTCCGTCAAAGCCGAAAGCGCTATCATACCGCCATATTATGCGTTTGGGATATTCCAAGCAAACATGAATAACATGTGAAAATAATAAATAAAACGAAATAAAAAAATAAATTTTTGAGAATTTGATTATTAATTCATTCTATTATGACGTGCGATGAAACTTCATATATATTGGCCCGGCCTCCCCACCATGGCTGGATGTGATACGTTAAACGTGGGTAGAGCCATACGCAGAAAAATGAATGAATGCCTTTGTAACACTTTGCATATCTGTTATGTTTATTTCCCACGATTAATGATGTTTTAGTGAAATTTGTATTTGAAAAAAATATTTACCAATGTAATCCAATTGTATTAATTTTTATTTTGCATATTGGCCAGTGTTTATGTCGTAAGGCTTGGCCCGTCATCATAACAACATGGCTCTATCGGGCACAAACCACATCACTTGTCGTCTATCTATATGCTGAGTGTGTGGACTGTCTGTGTGGATCTTCTAAAGAGGATGGGTGTAGAAAGTGGTATGAAAAATTGGCAGATCTAAAGACTAGAAAAATGTTTTGGGTAGGATAAGTGATGTTTTCTTTAGCTTGAATTAAAATGTATATTGTAATAAACTCATTCTACATTTTCAGTTTTCCACCTTGTAAAGATCTCAAAGAACTATACTTGTAATGGCGCCGTAGTTCAGCAGGTCCCCGATGCTAGCAAACCTAGGGACGGCCCTGCTTTTCGGACATAGTAATTCCAGCAGAAATTGTACGGGGTTCCTTTCGGAAGACAAGTACAAGAAATATGTTCAAAGCTTTCTTCTTTTCTAACCAAAATTTACTTATTTTTTCATATTTAATATCTTTTCTTGCCAAATCGTTTACTATGTGCAGCATACAATCACATAAATGGAATCAGAAAAGCCTAAGATAAAACATCGTATAGAGAGTGCGATGGATAAACTGTCGTCTAAATTACGCAAAAATGAAAATAACACAGACATCTCATTTTAACAGATATATTTACCAAAATTACACAAAAATGCATTGAAATACAAAAGAGTAAATTTATTCAATAAACGACAGCCTCTAGTCGACTTTGGAATCTCCTTCATCGCTTCTGGACAGCCTACTTATTTAAGATGGTGAATGCTGCTATAATCCTTGCCTTCATTTCATCGTTGGTGTTATTAGGAGTTTTTTTGGTCTCTTGCGCAACTGCGCCGTCACATAATAATCAAGGGGTTGCAGCCTAGGGAGTTAGATGGCCATATGTAAAGGATGATGTGGTCGCAGAAATTGTCTGACAGCTATGACTAGGCACTCTTGCTTGTGTGGCATGGTGTAGAGTCCTGTTGCCAGATATAGTGTCTTCCAGCAGGCCACCTTCTTGACCCATGACAACATTACCTCCCTGGCTATAGACCTAATTGAGTTATAAGAATCATTTTCAATCATGCCCTGGATCTCAACAACAAATGCAAAAAGAAAGATCAGAGTTAGTTTTCCGAGCTGCCATACCTTCGTAATCAACATTAGACTAATCTAACTCTTCCCGAAACTTCTGCACTGTCCTCAAATTAATATCCAAACACTCTGAAATGTTTCTGTTGGAGCTTCCAGGGCGAATGCCAAGCAGTACAGCATGCCATTTCCAAATATCTGACGGAGTGAATTGCGTCATGGTGCTCTTTTTCTCACAGACAGTGCCGAAATTACCCTTTCACTGTGCAGTCGACACAATCAAAAACAAACAACGCGCATGCACGAAATTTAAAATATAAAACGGCGTCAATTCATTTATCGCACGCTGTAATTATGTATCAGGCTGCAGACTTACTGATCAGCGTCACGATTCTCGTAACCAATTAGGGTCATAGCCGCACCATATGTACTTCAGTTTTAGCAATATCTTGGGCAAGATAGCCTGATGGAGCCGAAAATTCTTCAGGCTGGTCTGAAAACAATGTTTACCTTCTCCTAGACATTGTCAAACAAAGCTATAATGCGCAGTCTGTCCGACTATTTAGCTATAAGAGTTTGTTAGACATGCAATCAAACCTTCCTAATGATATTTGCGCGTAAATTAAAGTAATTAACTCGACTGGAGTTCGAACTCGGCTCTTTGATTTCTCATCCGGAGCCGCTATTCATTATACCATAGTAAATTCACTAAATTGGTACCTCTTTCTATGTAACCATATGTGGTAAATACTACCACACACATGTGTACACAGATCACATGTATATCAGTATACGGATGTGTATTAGAAAACTACTGTTAGAATTCTTTTGCTCTATCGATGCAAACTGCAGACCTACTTTTTCCCTTTATCATAAAGGATTGCTCTAGTAAATGGTGTGGGAAATCGTCTGAATTTGGCTAGGGTGGCCATTGTTGATGCTTTGTTTGATTTTGTTGTTGTTAGTTTTTGTGTCAATCCTTATTTTCTGATAAATAGTTCACCTTGATACTTAGTTTCTATTCATTTTACTGATGGATCAACTTATAGATGCCAACGAGTTGACCGAATTATCAATATTCAACTGTAACCTTGTTTTCAGATAAAGATATGCACGTTCTTTCTTTCTCACCCTCCTTTCTCTATTTCTTTTTCATACAATTAAGTCTTCTTTGTTTCTTTCCTTTTTTTCGTGTCATTAACTGTCCTTTCTTTCTTTAGTTATTTATTTCTTACCCTCTTTTATCTGTTTCTTTTTTTTTATACATTTAACTCTTTTTTCTTTCATTTTTTCGTGGCCTCATTTCTCTATTTTTTCTATTTCTTTTCCATACCATTAACTCTTCTTTTCTTTCTTTCTTTCTTTCTTTCTTTCTTTCTTTCTTTCTTTCTTTCTTTCTTTCTTTCTTTCACAATGTCTTTTCTCTATTTCTTTTTCATACACTTATTCTTTCTTTCTTTCCCTTTTTCATTCCATTAACTCTTCTCCCTTTCTTTAGTTATTACATACCCTCTTATTTCTTTGTTTTTTTTTTCATACCATTAACTCCTCTTTGTTTGTTAGTTTCTCTCTTTCTTTTTTCGTATCCTAATTTCTCTTTTTCTTTTTCATACCCTTATTTCTTCATTCTTTCTTACTTTCTTTCAAAACCTCTTTTCTCTGTTTCTTTTTCAGATCATTATTTATTCGTTTTTTCTTACTTTCTTACACATTTTCTCTATTTTTCCATGCTATTAAACCTTCTTTCTTTCTTTCTTTTTTCTCCTGGCTCCTTTCATTCTTTCTTTAGTTTTCGATTCCATTCACACATCTATTATATTCATTCAGTGCTTTTTTTTATTTTTTTCGATTTCTTTTTCTTAATCATATTTTATCTTTTTCTTTCTTTTTTATTATATTTTACTTTATTTTCCTTCCTTTTCAAATTCTTTCTTACTTTTTTCGCTGATTTCATTCCTCTTTCTGAGTAATTTCTCTCGTTCTTTAATCTTTCTTAAATTCATTTACTATTTACGTTTTCTTTTACCCACTATTCATTTATTTTTATTTCTCGGGATTTTGTTTTTTACTTTTTCTATATTATTATTTTTTTTTTCATTTAAGTCTAATTTTACCATTTTAATATTTAAGTTACTATTTTTAAATCATTTTATTAAATTATTTCTGCAGCTTTTCTTTTTTTCTTTTCCATTCGTTTTGTTTTCTCCGCCCCAAAACCAATTTACTTTCACCTTCATTACCGCCAAAAAATCTCTTTTCGCAAACACACAGACGCTCACAACAACGCACATACACAGACATACACAGATACATACGTGTGTCTATATCCGTACAGATAATGCAAAATCACAATTCAACCCCAAATATATCATATGTCAGCCAATTATTTAATCTTCTCACGCACGTTCAGGTAACGAAGCAAACATTTTACTATTTATAGACATCACGAATTGTTGACCTTGTTTTCGTTCTATGATCCTGTGTTGTTTCGTGGGACGTGATAATGAAGAGCAAACTAATCAAACGAACCCAGGTCCACCCGCCTATCTATCAACCGATTTTCCAAAGTCTGTTGAGCCCACCTTATTTTCTTAACAGATTAACTCATGCCCAAAAGTAACCCATCCGTTGCGCACGTAGCCAACATAATGAGTAGTTAATAATAAAATGACAATCCAAGTATCAAAGTAGACAAAAAAGTAACAGCATCGTAAACCCAGATACAAAACTGAAAGCATAAGTCGTAAAACGTATGTTTTCAAACATCAGTATATCGAGAATAAATACCTCAGTAAGGGTAATGGTGAGATTAACCATTTCCTTATGAGGAAGCGTTCGAGCATTCATTCATCAAACTGTTAACATTACTCTCTTTTGAAATTATTATTTTTTTATTATCTTAAAACAGTTGGTCCTGCCTATAACGAGAAACTACATCCTGCATCAGGGCCTCTGGTCAGGCGGTTTTAAGGAGGTGCAACTTAATTGCTATTGTTCCTGCACACACACACACACACACACACACACACACACACACACACACACACACACACACACACACACACACACACAAAATAAATAAATAAATAAAAAACATACAAGTTATTACTTCTAAGTTCTCAATCAAAGAATACCAGAAGTGTCTTGAATTCTTTACTTGGATTTTCCATAGTAAAGATGATGGGGAGATTAACTGTTTCCTTATAAGGAAACATTCGGCATTCATTGCATTACTGCCAGTCGAAATTTATGAAATCTTTCACTTAAAAGACTTTTTTCCTAGAAATATTATTTTTTCTCTGCCCATTAATTATATCGCTCTTTCTCATATTGATTGACGGTTTCCTTCCTAATCTTCTATTTAAGGTCGTGTGGAAAGCCAACATATTGATTATCATCTTTTATTCGATTTATATATGCTATCCATTTTAGTTGATAAAAGTCTTCAAGGAATATGGTTTCTCTTATTTGGTAAAGTTCTTTCTTTCTGATTCAGTAGTGCCAGACTACAAAACCCGAGGAAATACAGTCCTCTTCATGATCCCCATGGTTAATTCACTTTAATCCATTGTTATTCATTAATGGAAGAAAACTGTTGTATATAGCTGATTCTTTAGGCATTTTTGAACATGGTGTATGCTATGATTGACATCCATATGAGAGTCTAGCACAGGCAAGACTATATAAGAACATGACATTCAACTTCCTTTAACAATGTTTTTTTGGCATATTGCTGTATTGGATAAAAGTACAGCTAGAGCAGTTGCAGTTTTTTTACCAACTATAGCAATTTGGTTATAACTGATCCATACACCCAGGTTCTTGAAATGTTTAGTATTTATTAATTCACATTATAAATTTCATTGTAGGTTTAAGTTATGTGCAATCAATATTAATATTTCAATTCAGCCTCACACATTCTGTTTTGGAAATGTTTCTGTAAAAGAGATGTTGCTCACATATCAGAATTCAATCTCAGTCATATACTAATAAAGAGGGGTTAAAACTAGTTTTGAATAACTCAATGTTGAATAATACATACAGCACTTATCTTGGACTGTAATCACTTATTTATAACATAAAGAAGAATTCTTTATGGCTTGAGACACTTAAGTTAATTAAATGCCTGAAACCGTACAGATTTTTTTGTTGTGATAGAAAGATGTGGTTAGAGTTTGAGATGAGTTGACAGTCCTTTTTAGATCTCACCCCAACAAAAGTAAAATAAATTATAGATGTTTATCAAAATGAATTTAATCTGACATTAGACCAGAATAGTGTAACATTGTATCTAAGAAGATAACCATTACATCTTTTTGGTGTTCGGAGGCATAATAACAACATTTCTATCACTCCAGGTATCTTCTTTAATTATGTGTCAATTGTCCAATATTCATTTCAAAATAAGGAAAAAAAATATTACATTACAGTTCAAAAATTGTTTCTAAAAACATTTTCTGATGACTTAATACTTTGCTTTGTTTCAGAAAGACAGTTTTCACTATCTATGTGTGCTTTCAGATTTCTGTAAGAAGTAAGATTATTTATATATGTTTATAAAGATTAATGTAAGTAGACATAAAATCAGAACAATGGAACATTGAGAAATATCTAAAAGGACAACTGTTAAATTTTTCTGTGTTCTGAAGCATTAATAAAGAATAAATCTAAGAGCAATTAATAATTATATAAGGTTGAAAGATATCTATTAATTTTAAGACAATGAATTAAAGAAAAAAATATTTATTTTGCTAGTTAATGATTTAGGAAATAAATATTTATGCAACTCGTCATGACATAAATTTGCCAAAACATTCATTTATACAAGGAGAAAAAAACAAACAAAACAAAAAAAAAAAACTAAAAACAAATGAGGCAAAACTCCTGCTTGTAACAGTGAATGGATAACGATACTTGAATTTAATGCCAACAACATTTGACCCTTTCAAACACAGGAAAAGTTTTTAGTTTTTCATATTGCTTTCAAATGGTTTCATTTCTATTTTATTTAACTCTAAATGTTTTGATGTTAGAAAATATACATTATCAGAAACCAAATTTTTGCATTCCTTTTTACTTAAAATTTATTTTATCACATTTCATTAAAACATTGATAATTAGAAAGAAGGGAATTGTCCATTTTCAGGAATTAATGAAAGTATTCATGACAAAATGAGTCTATCATATATATTAATTATTTTTAGTATATAGATCAAAGATAATTCTAATATGAAGCTTATATTTTGAGAATGAAAAATTGTGACATTTTGTGTCTGTTTGGAGACTAAACTCTAAATGTGATTACCGAAGTAGAAACAGAAGGAAAAGAAAAATGTAACTGAATGCATTTTTTTATATATATCACACTGTTTTTCAATTTTGAAAATAATGTAAGCCTCAGAACATCAATTTTAACTTAATAAATCTCATTTTTTAATTAGATGATGAATGTTTGTCCAAAGATAGAAGAATATATGAGATATGAGAATAAAGGATAAAAGATATAAAAATATATGAAATATAAGGCTATTGAGATATAGAAATTATAAAATATATTAGATACAAGAATATCTGAGATATGAGAATATATAAGAAAATATATGAGATATAAGAATATATAAGTTATAAAATTTCATGAAAATTAAACATATATGAGATATAAAAAATATATTAAATATAGAATATAAGAATATATGAGATATGGGGATATATGAGGTAAGTGATATAAGAATATATTAGATATAAGTATAAAATATATTAGATATATGAGATATACAAATTTATGAAATATAAAATATATGAAATATAAGAATATATGAAATATAAGATATAAGAATATATGAGATATAAAAATTGTCAAATATAATAATATATAAATTATAGGAATTTATTAGATATGGAAATGTATGAGATATGAGATATATGACTATATGAAATATAAGAATATATGAAATATAAAAATATATGAGGTATGAGAAAACATGAGATATAAGATATAATAATATATGAAATATAAACATTTATGAAATATAAAATATATGAGATATAAGAATATATGAAATATGAAATATAAGAAAATATGTGAAATCAAAATTTATTAAATAAGAATATATAAAATTTACTATGAAAAAATGAACAATTGATTCACAAATATCAATAATTTTTTCACAGAATGTGTTTCTGAGGTACTTGAAGCGGAACAGATTAACCGTATCTTATTCTCTGTACAAGTTCAGATGTTTTGTCAATGAGACTCACCTATTATTACCCAAAATAAGAAGAGATTAGATCATTACTATATGTTATTTTTGCTATTGTTGCTCTTTTTATTCTTCTTCACTTTATTATTATTATTTAAAAAGAGAGTGTCATGATACTGGGCTATGTATATATGAAGTGTAAGATATCTATCATGAGACACAGTCTAATAAGTCTTTAGTAGGTGCATGCATTATAGCAAATAGTGCACTTTATGGTAAAAGATTTTGCTAAAAGTAGTGCATAATCTTACAGGTGAGGCCCAGTTATATATATCCTGAGTTTGAATAACCCTGTCCATTAAAATGAACTCTGATTGAGAGTAACCCCAAATGTGCAGCTCAAGTTGCATTGATTGCCTCATCCTCTAAACATAAAAACTAAATAAACCACTTGACATTAGGCCATGATGTTCTGCCAAGTTTCTTGCTCATAAAAAAGACATGCTCAACTGGTTAATATCATGCAACTGGTAAGCACACCTTTGATGCTGAATAGGAGATATAATGTATCTCATCTTGATACAGCAAATGAGAACAATACGTACACAGCTGTTTAAACTTTCATTAAAGTTTCTGTATGTATGTAGATATAAAAGTGGTGTAAATTTAAATAGGTAAACTGATGATATAGAGAGTTAGAAAATTTAAAATTATGTCACAGCTATAAAATTCAGTAAACTTGCATAAGAACCATCAAAATATAAAGAAGA